GAGGTGGCACCCAAAACCTCCCTTACCTAGAAATAATACCTACTCAATCTATTTGAGTAGGTTATAGCCCTACTTATTCGTTGTTTCATCCTTACATGGCTGGCGAGTGACAGTTGCAGCTTTCGTCTCACCTGCAGTCTACATGTTGCTTCACATGAGATGCGACCGAGATGTTACCGAGAATACTTTTCACCGTGAACAATGCAGACCACTCCTCCTTCAAAATGTCCAGACAGATATTGCCGCGAGTGTCCACGTTCGGATGAAAGCACGGGGACGCGAATCGCACGGCTGGTGGCTTGTACAGATAGCTAGAGCCGAACTCCAATAATAATTTGTATGTTTCGCCTTCATACACCGTTTTGTCCAGGCCCAAAATTGTCGCAAGCCATCATGTCCTATCTTCATCATCAGGAAAAGCCGAAATTCCTTTTTCATCAGACATCATCAAATCCATGAGTTCCAATATATTCAAATATGGTCCTGTGTCTCGTTTTCGCACAAGTCCTTGAGTGTGACAACCATCTCAGTCGGGACGGCACTGAAGTGATCGCCATAGCTAACATCAAACAGACACGAGCATTCCTCTTGGCTTTATATTTGTGCCCGTATCACGGGCCACGAGGTAGACGCGCTGGAACAACACGGGAACTGCTTCAGATTCTGGCAGGCGTCACCGGGAATGCGCACCCATAACAGGGTTGTGGTGAGCCGTTTAGGCGTGGGTTTACGCCGTGCCAGCTCCCTGCAGTCTCTCCCACCTCCCGTTCTTCGTGACACCAGATCCAGGTGGGGGGATGAGATGGCGCGGTAGATGCTGCGCAAGTCTACCACCACTACAAACTAGGTCACTCGCAAGTCACCGTCCCTGCTCTCACCCGGCTATGAAGCATACGGTGGACATAGTCGAAATAGATGATTGAACTGTTCGCCTTGGCATTTGAAGACAAGCAGCCTCAGCGTCCATGTTGAGCTGGACGTCCACTACAAAGGCCTGTGTTCACGGCACTCTGACTCTATGCGGCACCAGCAACTAATCCCCAGCCGGTAATCTAGCAGCTGGATGATCTTCCATTCCGTTCGCTCCGACTCGACAAACCACCACCAAAACCCCAGGCTGTCCCCCTCCCCGGTATCTTGCTCACCCCGCTCCCAAGGATGCGGTCTGACCAGTGGTGTCACCTCTGAGCCTCCAAACGCTCTAGTTGCGTATCTCATCATTCACTTCTTCTGACGACAGCTTGGTGTAACCCGTTTTCAAATCTACCAGTACAACTCGATTTTCCGTAGAGTATTCTCTCTTTTATGAGCCAGTATGCTGAAATAGGTGAACACTTATCTGATTAACGCATTCAAGTAAGCTAACTCCATCCTCTGGTATTGTCTACGCCATCGTCACGCGACCTGTCAGGTGGTCGTCTGTTAGCTGTCCAATCACTCGGGCGCGTCCGCGTCTACTTAATCTGGGAAACGTGAAAGACTCACCGGATCAGGGGGATTGTTTAACTGACTTTTCGGAGGGCTTGGCCAGCTCCCCATTATCAATGCCTTTTTTGCAAAAATAGGCCGGGATTTTAAGTAAACAGCCGAATTAGTTAGTTGGCCTTGGGCTGATCGACGTTTTTATGCCTTGACCTTCTGGTCGTTGTTTTTGAATGTTAGCGGCCGCTTGCGCTGTTTGTCGTCACCGCAATGGGGTTCGGTTCCACCTGTGCCCCCCTTTTGTGTGAATCAGTCGATGGGGAGGGCTTGCTCGATATTTTCAAGCTCCGTGGGACCTTCTTACCCTAGTCATGGCGTATGTAGTGATGCAGGACTTTATAGGCCGCAGGAAGTTCTAGAGGCTTTTTGATGGATTTGGCATCCGAGCACCAAGCCTCAAGTGTGACACGATCTGTCCTTGAAGTGCACAGGTTGAACCGACCCTCATTAAAGTGACGACAAAAAACGTAAGCGGCCGCTAACATTCATAAACAACGGCTAGAAGGCCAAGGCGACGAAAGGTCGATCAGCTCAGGGCCAATTTATTCGGATGTTTATTTAGAATCATGGTCGATTTTTCGCATAAAACGCTTTAACAATGGAGAGCCAGCCAAGCCCTCCGAAACGTTGGCCATACACCTCGCCTAATCCGGCCAGCCCTCCACATTTCTCAGATTATAGATCCGGATCTCTTACTTTTGCCTATCTAAGCTACCCAGACACTGACCGATCTGCGGGGAGGCGCTAACAATAGGTCTGTTTTGCAGTACTCCTGCCCCAACGAGCCGAACTCACCTGTCGACCCTGTGCACCGCGCGTGTTTCTGAATACCGGTTTGGTGCACACATGCGCTCATTGCTCGGGACCACAGGCATCCGAAAAAGACGGTCCATAAGTCCGGAACCGCCGCGGTTCCAGTATCTCCTGCCAGTGATCGTCGGTGACCCCCATATTTTATAAGCCTCACAATTTCCCCTCAAAGCCAAATAAAGGCACACAGGAGGTCGATTTTAGATCGCATGGTCATCAAGTTGTCCGGACACAGCATTAGCATTTGAAAACGCAGGCGCGTTTTAATAAGCACATCGTGGCAGGCTAGGCCGAGAATGAGACCCTGGCCGCCACGACCTTCACGCCAACCCGAACGGACAGATAAGACGGACGCCAATGGGGGGATGCTCTATTCTGCACAGATTAACTGGAGAAGTAGTTGAAGGTAGTTGGCAGCCGGACGTCGGCACGTCCGGCTCCAGACGAGCGGCGCCACAAGCATTCGCCAGGGCATGCGTCACAGCATCCTAAACCAAAGCACGTCTGACTCGACCTTGAATCTGATTGGCCAGTTAGAGAGCCGAGTGGGCGAACGCCAGACAGCCCTGGTGCGCACTCGCGAGAGGCCCAGCGTTGAGGCAGGCGCCGGGAGTAAGGCCACTGCAAGCACGGTAAGTAATGAAAGTTTTAATGCCTGAGTAGCAAATTCTTTCGATACTGATTTGTGGGGGCTAATTTTTTTACAATAAAATACTCTCAAGAAAAACTGGTTCACTGCCAGGCAACTTTTTAATGACTTCTACTAGCATAACGTTGGCGAATAGCTAATTCTGTCCAACCACATCGAAAAACCAATAAGCAATCCTGTCTGCCGGTCGGGTATTGGAGGGCAGTATTCAAACACCGTCTCCAAGATCTTTTCCTCATAGCCAGGCAGGGTTTGGCATGAAATGTGCCGATGAGGGAGAACTGAAAACGATAAGTTCCAGGCAAAGGGGACTAAATCGGGGAAGAAGTATCAGAAAGATTCTGGTTTTAGGAAAGCAACAGATGACAGGTTGCGTTGAGCATCCTTCAAATTCTACTGCATGGGAACTCATCACCTCCAGCGATTCGCTTTGAAGGTTCTTTCCAATCGTGTAATTTTCCTCTGAATAGAGGAACTTAAATGTTTGGTTACAGCTCTTTTGCTACGTAATCAGGGCTATTTCGGGCCCTCGGGCTTTTTCAGGTTGACATGACCCATAAGAAAGGGGGAGACTAGATCGGCAGGATAGAAGGGAAATTGTGGCATCCCTCCGCGGGGAAGCGTCTGTCCCAGGCAACAACATACAGTTTTCCGTCTCTTCGACGAGCATTTTGAATGTAAAAAATGCCAAATAATAACTTGGATCGGGAAGCAAGACTTCGGAAAGCAACAGACAAACGGCGAAGATTAAAAGCCGCATTAACAAAAAACCCCGGCATAACCGTCAATTCGACCATCGCATCTGACGATGACCACCGTGTGCTCCATAGCAAGGTGGAGCAGGCACAGTGACTTGAGCGTAAATTAGTCTACAGTGAGTAAGTGAGTGCATAATTGCGATGCATCTATCTCACTCCAACCTCCTCCCTCACCTAAACCCAGCGCCAGGAAAGTCTCAAGAGGACCGAAGGCGGAGATGGGTGGTGCGGCCGAGCCCGCATCTTGGCAATCCACTCCACACCCCCTGGTTCAAACAATAATTGACCTGGACTTTAATCGACAACACCACGACGGGTCAGAAGGAGGCGGATGACTGGGCAGCCATGCCCACCACCTGTGTATACCCAGCGGCAGCGTAAGCGCATCTGCCGGCTGGGGACTGGGTGTCGGAGAACTGCCTGCGCATACGACACTGCGAGGGCCATGGTTTGCTGATTCTGGCATAGCAGACGCACACAAACCTCTAGACCCAGACGGATGACACGTGGCCCTGCATTTGCCTGGGCCATCACCGTTCAAGGCTGGGTAAAAAAAACCGGTCGTGGAGTGAAAGACACTACCCATAAAGCACACACACACAAACACAGATACTCTCCTCACATGTGTGAGTGTCACAGGCCATTTAAGATGGAGCCGTGACAGCCTGGCTCTCAACCCACCAGTCCGCCACTCCACACAAACACACACACACAACTGGGCAGACTGAGTTGGGAAGTCAGTTGGCAGTCATCCATGCCACGGCGCTTGGTGCACCGTGATAGCCGCTGACTCGATCACACACACAGTCGCATGGAGAAGGAACCGAGAAGCACACTTCCCACTTGCGTGGGAGGTGGCGATTGGGTGCTTGCGACGGGTGATGGTGTTGGGAAGTGCGCGTGCTGTTGGGGGAAAGTGTGATGGCGTGGTGTAGCCAGCGGTTATCCACCGCGGATTTGCATAGATGCGTATGTGTCCTAATAGGCCCATGCGGTGAGCGACTGTGCGGGTGCAATGAGGATAATTTAGGCAGATGCGGCTACCGTAAGTTGGTGTCCCATGCCCTGGTTTGCCAATCACCGTGGGATGAATTCGCAAGTGACCGGCCAGAACAATGTGTGAGGCGAATGTGTGATCACAATGAGGACGGGCATGAACCGAGTCCACATCGCTGGAGGTGAGGTGCCTGCAGTTGCTCCAACGTGGCGTGAATACCAAGGATACCGGGCTGTCCTAGGATTTCCGTGTCGGAGATCCCGTCTTGCCACCTCAACTCTAATATTCTGCGACGGCAGTTGAGATGGAAATGATGGAGTTTCTTGGCGTGTTTGGAGTAGACAGTCCAAGTCTGCGCTCCGTAGAGCAGTGTCGTAAGGACGACGGCCTTGTGCATCTTCAGCTGGGTATTCAGTTGGAGGCCGTGGCGACTCCAGACGGAGTTCCGCAGCCAGCCGAAGGCTTGGCGGACTTTGGAGGTCCGGTGGGCAACCTCATCGTCGATTCGGATGCTGTTGGAAAGTGTGCTTCCGAGATAGGCAAAAATGTCCACGGTTTTGAGTTGGTGGCCGTCGGCAATGATTCGAGGAGGAGTGCAATGTTGCGTGTTCGGTGACTGTTGGTGCATGACCACCGTTTTGTTCGTGTCAGGCCGAAGCTGGCGCATCCGGTGGCGAGAAGGTCCATGTTCCGCTGCGTGCCCGCTTCGGTCGTGGTGTTGAGCGTGCAGTCGTCGGCAAAGATCAGTGGAATCAATCCTTTGTCAGACGGAGGCAACGGAGGAGACTAAGAACCTCATCCGACATCAAGTGTCGTCTCTCCTGATGGCCCACAGGCCGCGGGAAGTGCTTTCCAAGGTCGAACGTGATGCGCTTAGAGAACTCAAGGCCGACAAAGACCTGGTCATCGTGCCAGCGGACAAAGGACGCGCCACAGTTGTACTGGACAGGACAGACTACCTTCAAAAAGCCAAAGGTTTACTGGAGGACCGACAGTTCTATGTCCCATGTGCAACGAACCCCTTAAAGGCGCTGACACACGAAATTAATGCTACGTTGTTGGCCTTGGAGAACTCAGGTGCAATAACACCGACAGACAGACGCATGGCGAGACCCCAAGATACGGCTTTGGCCCGATTCTATGGCCTCCCTAAGGTGCACAAAGACGGCGCTCCTCTCCGACCCATCGTGTCGCTCAAAGGGACTCCAACGTACGGACTGGCTAAGTGGCTGTTCCGGCGTCTAAAGTTCCTGACCGCTGAGTCAGACACCACGGTCTCTTCGTCAGCACAATTCCTGGAGAAACTCAAAGGGGTAAGCATCCATCCAAATGAGGTCATGGTAGCTTTTGATGTTACATCCCTTTTTACTTCTATTCCCCAGGACCTGGCGATCGAGACAATTGAACTGCTACTACAAAGCAAATACGATGAAACGGAGAACCGTCTTGGACACGCCCAAATCCTTCAGCTCCTGAAGCTCTGTCTCAGGACGTACTTCACGTTCGTCGGGACAATCTACGAACAGGTGAAGGGCACACCAATGGGTTCGCCGATTTCGGGATTCATCGCCGAGGCGGTCCTGCAACGGTTAGAGTCGCTGGTCTTCCAACACCACAGACCGAAATTCTGGGCCCGGTATGTGGATGATACCTTCGTCGTCCTTGAACGGGATCAGATGTTGACATTCCAAGAACATCTCAACGCCGTCTTCCCGGACATTCAATTTACGATGGAGGAGGAAGAGAACAACCAGCTGGCCTTCCTGGACGTCCTCGTATGCCGCAAGGATTGTGGTGGACTAAAGACCAAAGTGTTCAGGAAAGCGACGAATACGATGCAAGTACTGAACTTCAACAGTAACCACCCAATCAGCCTCAAACGCAGTTGTGTAAGGACGCTCTATCGGCGTGTCGAAACGCACTGCAGTGAGCCGGAAGACAAAATTGCTGAACTACAATACCTCCGACGGGTCTTCAAAGCCAATGGCTACCCGCGCAACTTCGTCGACCGGTGCATACGCAAAAAGGACGAAAGGCCTAACCGCACGGACACCAAGTCTTGGCGGGCACTTCCGTATGTCAAGAACGTTTCGGAAGCTGTTGGCCGCCTTCTCACACCACTTGGGGTTGGAGTGGCACACAGACCGGAGGCAACCATCAGGCGTCAGATAATGAAACCGAAAGACCCAATGCCACGGCCAGAAACGTCTGGGGTCGTTTATCGGATCTGGTGCAGTTGCGGACAAAGCAACTACGTCGGAGAAACCGGAAGACAGCTCCGAACGAGAATGGTCGAACACGCGGCAGCGGTGCGCAGAAATGACGCCAGCTCTCAAATTGCGGCCCATTCGACGAGATCCGGCCACACATTTAAATTCGATGAGGCCGAAATTCTCGCAAGAGGTGACAACTGAGTGAGCCGGGAGCTACTGGAATCATGGTTTTCTGCCCCCAGTCCATCAACAAGTGCAACGATCTTCCCATTCAATACACCGTGCTGAGACTTCGTCTAGGCGGAGTAATTGGTCACGCGGGGAGCGCACTGGTGAACACTCTTCCCAACACCCGGGTCAACGCGTCAGATGGTCGAGCAATCATCACGCCAACATCCAACGCACGTGATGAAATTGCAGCAATTATCGACTCGAATGTCGGCCATCAAGCAATGATCACACCAAGTGTGACAATCCCGGATGAAGGGGGGAGCCGGTAGCATGGCCACTGCATCCTATAAATACCGCAGCCCCTTGTGCAAAAACCACCCGTTTCTGTTCTTTTGTCTCTGATGATGGATTCGAGTAGGAATCCGAAACGTCAGGCTAATAAAGCTCTTGTCCCGGCGATCGTGTCTCCTTCTTCAAAGATCAGATCGTAAACCATAGTCGTGTTCGGGCCTACATGCGCCACTGTTGAGATGTCCATCAGTTCTGTGGGCGATGCGTATCCCGGGGCACTCATTTCGGTGGACGTCTATCAGCATGACAGAGAACTGAAGAGGGTAGGCTCAAGGACACAGCCCAGCCTTACTATATAAACAGAGATATCAGCATAAGCAAGTTGTCAAAAACAGGATCAGTCACGAGCCGAAAAGGACCGCCAGCCAAGTTGTCTTAGGGCTCCCAGACTTGGACTTCCAAAACGCATCCCTAAATTTTGCAAAAATATTCCCTTCATTCTGATAACAGAAACTACTCACTTGATGGGACCATTATCATTTAAAATGACAAGCCATCACAAGTCCAAGGTCGTAGGATGTCCCCGACCACATCAGAGCAGCATAAAAGTTCGAGGGTGCTGGCAGTTTCCAACAGCCTCACAATGGTAACTGATCCTCCTGAAACAGGTTTCTGAGTGCAACTAAGGCTCGACTGGGACTCATTTCACAATTTTAGATACTCTGCCGGACCTAAATCCAACCTGCGGACATCTATACCTTGGCCTTGATGCCATACGGTGCCTCCTGCCTCAGCGCAATCAACGATCGAGGTATGCGCTCCAAACTCCCGGATTTAAGTCTCTAGGTGTTTGTTCGAATTTCGGTCTGTAAATTTTGGCACTCCGGCATCAACTTCCTCAAGGTCTCAGTCGCAAAGGCCGATTGGGAAATTTCTGCAGAGTACATTGGAACGTCTACCAAATTCCCAGTCTGAGGCTATGGAAGCGGGGATATATAGACCAAATAACCTGAAACGCATGTGCTGCAACAATTAAGGCTATAGGCAGGACGTAGCCACAAACTTCAGGCCCAGTTCCGAACAGACAGAAGTGCTGGACGCCCGTTGAGAGGATAGTGTATTCAGTACAGAAAGATTAGAATGCCGGCTGGAATAAGTTGGCAGCCGGACGATAACACGCCCAGAGCTGTGAAAGCGGTGACTAGTGACTCTGGAATGTATCACAGCGCCTTCAGCGAAAGCACGTCTGAGTCGGCCTTGCAGCTGATAGGACGGTTTGAACAGCCGTGATTGGCTGAGAACCAGACTTCCATTGGCACGCAAATGCAAGTACTCGCGAGAGGCGCGGCGTTCCGACAGGCACCCGAGGTACGGCCACTACACATAAGTCTGAGGAGACGCAGTCACTGGGACGGGAAACTTATTCAATGGTAGAGGGGGCGATCATCTATCATGCCACGGAACTCAGTCGTCCCGTTGGGCCTCGGAGCTCTCTCTCCCTCTCAAGCGCAACCAGCAGCCTCGCAATGGCGTGTAATGTAGACAGAGTAGCGTTACCGACAAAGAAGGGACTGGGACGGCCACTTCTGGCCTATTAGTCGTCGTCGTCAGCCAGTCATACCCAACACCGAAGTTCGGAACAGCTGCCGATCGATCCCCCGACCTGTAGGTTAGTAGTCCAACGCCCTAACTACGGAGCCCCGGGCTCATTGACCTGTCGGCTGCGATCGGGAATATACAAAGGTTGAGGGGCGCTCACCGATCGCGTTAAGGCACTAACCCGTCCACTTGCGCTTTGGGTCTCTCGAGCCCCACCAACAGCCGCAAAGAGGCGAGTACTGAACGCATAATGGCATCGCCGACAAAGGTAAAGGAAACCGGAGCAGCCATTTCTGGCTTATTGGCCTGGCGCCTCAAGGTCACGTTGGAATCCATCATCAGACTGCATGCCTATGGGCACTACACTTCTTGGGTAATCATTATCCTTATATGTTGCTTTCTCTGGTGCCGGATGCGAACTTGAGCCCGAAACACCAAGCAAATGCAACCTCCGGTGCTCTCGTCTCCTGTCGGAGCTCCTCGGAACCCATCCTCTCGCTTGTGTCGCAATACATACCCTCAGCGGAAGCTGGCCGCCGGCCTCCTCATCCATTACGCATCCCTAGTACGTACTCCACAGTCACGCCCACAGTGTGCTGCTGCCTTCTCAGCAAACAGGATTTAAGGTTAGGAAGATATAGGCCGTCCTGGCTAGACGCCACTCAGAAAAGGCACCTTGCACGCATTGCCAACCCCCCCTCCGAGGCACCTCTACCAGTCCTGGGCGACCAGCCGACCTCGATGGCGAGTTGGCCGGCCAGACTTCTTGACTTGCATCAGGTCACCCAAATCTAACTGCCGAGACTCGGCCGACTATTCGCGCCAGACGTGAGCAACTTTTATCCTAAAGCCCCCCATTTCGTGGTATATAACAGTACCACGCCAATCGCCATGAGACATTCTGATGTGAAAATGGTCCCCACAATTAGTAACTGTAGCCCACAATGAGGTGGTCCATAACGCACTTCGCGACACGAATCAGCCTTCCTCAATTTGTACATAACCTCAACACCTGACATTTAGGTAATTTACACGAGGGTTCATAGAACAAATATTGATACGGCCAGAAAAATATGCAAGACCCGGCCGGAAGGACGCGCCGCGGCGAAATGTGGCCGTGGAGTTAACTCTGCGCGAATGTCAATTCCCAGTCCTCTCATGTTTGTGCCAGCAGTCACGACTGATCCCAGGCTTCGGGTTGACTGACGACAGCTGCACTGGTGCGAAGGCCGATTGAAGTTTATGGCCGCCCGCACGTCCCTATCATTGAATACAGGGACTCGCCCCGCCATTGTCGTGATCGAACACCTGGAGCCTACCTTTGGGGGACGCCAACGTACCCTCACAACAGCAATACTGATGCACTGTATCGAGGAGGCGGCGACTCTACCGGCACCCACTGGCACGAGGAGCCCCTAATGTAGCCTGACAGGTGGAACGCAAACCCGGAAGTGGGACGTGTGGACGGACCGCCCAGCCTCGTCATTGTGTCCCCGACATTGTGACGTGCGGCATATGCGGCGCAAATCTGTCCCTACACAAACTCGAGTATGTCACCGCCGCTTGGCGGCCTCAAGGAATAGCGGCAAGTGGTCGATTGCGGCGATTAGAGACCGCCCTGGTAAACGCCACTCAGCTGCTGTAGGTGCAAGCACCACAGAGTTTCATTCAGCGTCTACGACACTATAACCTCCAGCCAATATTTCAGGTTTTCACAGCAGCAGTGACACCACCAAGGCGGACTGGAAAACGGAATCGCGATCCAGTCGCTAAAAAGGCAATGGAAGTAACTCATTTAGTAAGCGAGTCTCCACATATACATCGGTAGCGCATGAAAACGCTGAATAACGACTTTGTCCCGTACGGCAATCACTAAATAGTAACCAATAGCGCTCTTCGTCTCCTCACCATTCACGTAGCATTTGGCACCTCCGGAAATGCGCTAATGCCCAAATTGAATAAAAAAGGCGCAGACGTACAGGGTTTAGCGAAATTTACTGGATATACAGGTTGTTTATGTAAAAGCAGATGGCAAAAGTGGATGATTTCGAAATTTGAGATGGTAGTCGACGATTGCGTGGAAAAAATGCACCGAAATTCTTCAACGGTTCGGTGATCGACAATTCCTGCAGAACATAATATTCATGGGATTCTGTGCTCCACACATTCTACAAAGATAAACGGTAAATAACAAAATCAACAGTCAGACACACGCACAGAGACCAACCAAGATGGGTCACACAGGATCTTACCTGCATTGTTGTTGTTGCGGGTGTTGAAGTCCAGCCAGTCGCAGGCCCTGAGCTGCTGCACTTGAGAGCATGGGCCATGCGCTGTTACCACCACCATTTCCACCACCACTACTGCCGAAGGATTGCTGCTGGGACATGCCACCAAAGCCGCCGCCGCCCAACTGGGCGGACATCATCTGATTAGGGGATTGGCCCTGCTGACCACTGCCGCTGAGGCGTTGTGGCAAGGGCATCCGGAAGGCGTTTCCGGGGCTTGACTGGCCACCGCCGCCACCGATGAGGGTCATAGAATTGGCTAGCGACTGGCCGCCCTGGCGCATTGCCAGGCCGGGACTCAGTAGGCGGGCGGCCATCTGAAGCTGGCTTTCCTGATGCATGCCCGAGCGCAAGGCGCCCCCGCTTTGACGACGAGGCGGAGAAATCTCACGCTGCTAATGTGCGAGACAAACAGAATAAAGCTTCTCTTGAACGAACTTATACAATACGAGGCACCATAATAATAAGTGTTCGTCGGAAATGAATCCCATGAAAGTCCGGTACACAGTCAACTTTTTGCATCAGACATACACGTCAATGCGATCAAGCGATGCGATGAAGCTCTGACAATCACTTAACTTCAAATGGTTTAACGCGTGCGCACAGTAGTGAAAGCTGTCATAAGAAGCAGGATGATGTGAATGGATTTGGAGTTAAAGAAATAATGACGAAGATTGAGGCATCAGCTAGACGAAAGTGACGGGGAAAATGAACATCACAAGCCAAAAGGAGGGGCCGACCGGACACTGTCAGCAACACACTTTGGGAGGACTTAGGCACTATCAACGGGAGAATAAGCACACCAAAACATCCTCCGCAACGCCCTTATCCGTCTGAACACTACAAAGCACGCCGTCATCAGAAAAAATCCCCTGAAGTCCGTTCATCAGCAAAAATATACAGCCAGGAAAAACTGACGTGGAGCGTCCACCGATACTTATGACACAACCACAGAAACGGGAAACGGCATGAAAGAGTCAGGTGGCCTGGTCTTAACGAACATAACTAAGTCCCGGAAAAAGGGTAAGCGTCTTTGCCACTTTTCTACAAGTTATTTAATTTATCGGAAAAATTTGTCCCGATATCGTGCGAACACTTCGGGCCAGGCAATCGGTACCTCGGTGGAAATCCACACACATTATAATGACCCGACTGCTGAGTCAAGGATTTGACAATCACCGTCGTTTATCCTGATTAATCCTCACGTGCTTCTTCGTAGTGATAACCAAGACACTAAAGTATTCTGACTAATTCGGCCGATTGACAAGTACCATTTAAACTGATGTGAACTTCAGACTTCGGAAAGCATAACTTTAACAGCTTACCCAGGTTTCACAATGCGTTAGGACGTCGGGTTGAAATACGCACGCCTTCTCAACGGCCTTACAAAACTATCAAAGTAGGTACTAGGGGGTACTTCGAATCTTCCCAAAACAACTTTCCCAACCCATCTAAAAGTGTGTGAAACATAAAAGCTCAAGAACTATCGACCGGACGGCTTTTTCAACGTTAGTTCCACAACCATCTCGGAGGATCCTCTCTGGCCACTCAACGTGTTATCATGCCCCTAAGAAAATTTCACCGTGGACTGTTTCTCAGTGGCAGCTCAACTTTAGCCCAGTCAGCAAACAGCGAATAACCGGGACCAAACCTGGGCGTTGACTGACATTCCTAACCGACTTCCCGACGCAAATGTGCCCTTGACTGATATTTCGTGGACCGCAATCTCTCTTCACCCGGACGGACACAACAGGGAAAAAGTCAGACCCACATCTTCGGACATCTGTTCAATAAAGTGGCGCAGTGGAGTCTTCTTGGATTGTTATTTGTGTAGGATAACTACAGTTTCCTCCCAAGTAACCCCTACATGCCACACAATATGAACTCACATTGTCAGTTCCGCGTCGGCGAGACGGAGACAGGCGGGCGCCTTGCTGTTGTCTTACTGGTGTATTACCATCGAAACGCTGAAAAAAATCGAGAAATCCTATTTAATATAGGAACTCGTTAAACCTGGCCAGAGACAAGACTGATTTGGCCGCACGGTATCAAACCAAGGAAACGTTTTGATAACGACCAGCTGCGGTTGGCAGTGCGTTAGTTTTCTCGAGAAACCTAGACATGGTAAACAGCAAAGGCTGAGGTCCGATCTACACCTACAGCAGCCTGGACAAAATGGGGGAGGAAATAACTTCAGAGGGCTTCGATTGTGTACTACCGACGGTCACGAGGTTTATATTAAGACCCACTTCGAAACTTGGTGACAGAGGTTGAGACTGGCTAATGATGAGGACACGATGACCCGGAGTGGGGAGGGTTGAGACGGTGATACTTAAGATGAATAGGGGCAATCCATGAAAAGGCCGAAAAAGATGTTGGTGTCTCAACAAACAAGGCGTTTCTTAAATATGCAAAAAAGCTGAACACGTAGGGGACGATGAAATTTGCTAGGAGCTGATGTGTGGTCCGGACTGATGGTGAGGGGAGGCTACGCAGACAGAGAACCCTGACAAAACGATAGAGCCTAATGAATTGGCGTCAAAGGTATGGAAGAGTCACTTTCAGCCAATTACTCGATCCCACTGCAGCCTGCTTCATCAGATTTTGCGCCGAGTAGCTTTACAAATTGAATATTTATGTGATTATTTTAAGTAGCAACTGCAAGGCGTTGCGACGTCTCAACAGTGAGCACACTGCAATGAGGCGATAAGATAGCATAAACATCGGGAAATAAGACATAGGTCATGATTGCTCGCGGGGGCATTTCATGAGTAATAAATTCAAACGGTCAAGGATACCAGTGGAACCAAGCACCGTGGGGACGCATGGAACTCGCAAAGTACCAGTTTCTGCGAGAATTACCGCTAGCGGTAGTCTTGCAGTCATACTCGGGGAAATCTAGGCTGAGATGTCAAGAGCGTCTGAGTTCACTCAAAACGGACACATTATTAATCAGTGACCTTCCGCAAGCGTAGTCGGGAGCGCCCCGCAGTGCCTCGTCGACTTACTTGCATCTGCTGGTTTCGATTGTGTTGCTGCTGTTGATTTCTGTATCCTCGATTCCTGGGGTTGTAGCGATTCCCACTGGTCTGTCCACCCCTTCCGGAGCTGCCTGTACTATCGCCCCTGTTTGTAGAGACTGTAGAGGACGTCGGTGTAGCGAGTTTAGTGGCTGTATCCTCTTTTTGCTTGTTCACGGGTTCAGTAGTCGTTGCCGCCCCCGCCGCCGCCGCTGGCGAGGAGTTTGTGCCTACACTTGTCTCGGTTTTAACCTTAACAGTGGTATCGTTGATGTTCTCCTCATTTCGTGCTCGCTTTGCCGCCTCCATATCATGTCTGTTTTGTCAGAGGGGAGAGAGGTGAGACATTAACATAGATTGGGGACTGTGGTTTGGAATCCTAGAAGGGGACATTCAGCGCAAAATATCTCGCTCAGACCGCTGCACCCCAGAAGAGGATTGACCACTATGGACGAGAAGCTTATGGCGAAAGACCAATGAAACGGAAACGTCAGGTGTTCTGGGTCTAACTATGTCAAACACAGAGAGTATGTTTAGACAGCAATTTGCCAGATGATGAACTCCTCACCGACAGGATCTAAAATCGATGTGCGAACATCCTCAACATCTAGTACTGCCTTCGAAAATAGGCAAGACAATCATGGCAACAGCTATCATCTAGGCCAACGAGGTATTACCATATAAATCGTAAAAGAACCCAGACGGAGTATCACGAACCGTCTCGTGAAAATGGATCGAACTATGGATTTAAGACCTATACTTAACTAGCCGCGGGAATTGCCGCATGGCGTGCCAAGGGGTGTGGTCGAGGGCGACCTCAGCGGACAGAACTGATATGAGTCATTTCCGTGGAAATGGCTAATCAATGGGGGGAATGTAACTTGATATTTGAAGCTACAAAATAGGACTATCTCATACAGCGTGTGAGACAAAAGGACGAGATGAACAGCAAAAAACAAGAAATATGGGTGGCCAAGCCTTAATTTGCGGGACAGCAACATCCATTAAAACTGTTTTCAGGAAAGGTGGCTAGATGAAGAATGAAAACGTAGCCAAGTGTTTCAAGACACGGCGATGTGATCAAAACAGTCTAAACAATCAGTGATTTTGCCCATTCACTCTTTTGAATTTTGGAATTCATTCTGGGGACGCAATCAGCAAGGTTAGTCTTGGGTTTCTGGCGGCACGCTTCTGTCAATAGAGTTGGGTAAAAAACGTCAATGTGAAGACAGCTAACAGAAATGCTGTGTGAAGTGAACCTGCGCAGACAAGCGATGTACAGTAGCCGACGCTTGCTGGCATAACTACAGAGGCCACCCCATCGGACGAAAGTAGAGGCCGAAGTGACTTTAAAAAACCGAAGCAACATCGTAAACGATGGATTGATCCTATGGACAACGCCAGTGCCTCCGCTAGAGGAGCGCAACAAGGTGCCGCTTGCATAAAAACAGATTAGTGAGGCCTGTGGTGAGTTTGAAGAGGGAAGCGTGTCTGCCAGCAAACAAACAGTATAAGCATTGACCGGAGCAATGTCCTACTTTTCATTTGCGATGAAACAGTTCGCTGACTACCATCTGAACGTAAAAAGGTTGTCCATGCAACAATCGATGAAGACCAAGGCAGTCCATGGAGTCGACTGCCAAGACTATCTATTCACCTATGGAGAATACCTCAATGAGTTATTGCCCGCAAACGTACGGGGTCCCATGGGAGGAGGGGATAATTGGCTACAAAAATGGGTGCTGCGCGTCACACCTAGGGTCTTAGACAATTGAAAGGCTGGCGGCGCAATAAAAGCCAAACCAGAATTGAAAAATACTGAAGATGACACCAGTGGGTGGTTTCTTACCCATTGTTCTCATTGATTGTGTCAGTGTCTGCGGATAGCTCGTTAGCTTCGGAGGCTAGAGGAGACAAGACGGTGAAGATCAGGAAGTGTGCAAGTTCAACGCCATGGCAAGGCCATCCAGGTATCGAGAAACGGAGCGGATTGAAAAAGAGGTCGGGAGGTTCGACCCAGGAGTCTTTATACTTAAGCGTATAAATGAAAATGGACATCGCCGACAGGCGACCAAGAGGGGTGTGGAGAACCTGTTGCAACTGACAAGTTCCTGATACCTCAATTCTACAGTCAGGTATGGCTGGCTATCAAGGCTTTGGGAGTGGGGTTCCGTTTTAAATACACAGTCCCACGGAATTCTGCGATTTGAGGCAGGAATTTTTGAGTGTGAAGTAGGGCTCGCCTATGGCGAAGGAGTCAAAGTTACGACAGCGCAGTTATAAAGTCCATAGTGACCATATACACACCAAACGTGTAAATTGCGAGTTTATTCAAATACAAACAAATGAAGTTGGGAAAGCGGTGGCCAGTAGATGCTTCTCTCAGCCCAACACAGGGTAAAACTGATACCAAAGGCACGCTAGCGAGATTGAACAGTTAGCCCTGACCTTTGTTTCGCCAGGCAAATAGGAACAATGGGATGACTGTGATCAGTGATCACTTAAAAAATGCCTCAATGTAAGGCTGCTGAGAGCAGGCTACAAAATACTGTTAATAGCCTTAAGATTTGGAAGTTAATAAATTGGCAACCCACAACAAACTTAGAGTGAGTGCCGACACAATGCAATGGGGCTAGGCTACCGCCCTTTTAGTCGGACAGTCAGGCCAAGTGGGTAAAACAAGTCCAAAGTGGCATTTATTCTAAAGACTTCTTCATAAAAATAGAGGTAATGGGGATTTCGATGAGTTCTGAGGCTTATGGGACACAAGCAGGCTGAAAACGGATGCAGGTAAAAAAATGAAATCTAGGCGCAATGTACTGCAAAGTAGCAGTCTGTTAGCACTAATCACCAGTTTGTGTGGCTCAAGTTTCGCATTTTATTAAACGTTCAAACCAGAATCCGGAGATACACAACTTCAATCACCTTGACAAGAACTGCCCTTAATCATACAAAACAGAAAACACCAAGACGGGATTCTCCTGAGACTTAAGATTTACTACGGGAAGAGGTATGCTTTAGTGTCGCAAACGTAGGCTACAGCATCACCATCTATAATGATCTCTTTGTCAACCCAACGGTAAGCAACATATAGTTAACTGAAAACCATTTGCAAGAACAAACAAACCGCACACGTTCCCGCATGCAAAGCACGCACGGATAAGGGTGAACACAGTCCATGCTTTTGGCTGGAATAAATGCTAGCGAACAGTTTCGAATTTGAGGCTGGCAAATAAAAGGTGAGGTAGTAATACAGCATCGGCTTAAGAGTATTTTCGAGGGTACAAGTCCTGTATGCGTATTCAGTTATCCAACCGTGATTATTAACAATGCGCGTGCCAAGCCGCACGGGAGAGGTTCCAGAGTGAGAGAGACCAAATTAAGGCCGAGGAGATTCAACTTAAATGCTGGCAGTTCTGGTGTAAAATGACACAATTTCGACGCCAACTAGCACAATGAGGACAGGAAACATCATGCTAGTTCTGGAGGTGTTTTTGAGACCAACAGGACGGGATGTGGGAATATGGTGCTGCTGCTAACACGATTGAGAGGACCCACTTTGTCGAAAACCAGTATTAGTCACTTCAGTTCACTTTATTTGGGAAAGAGGGCTCTCGTCCGTGAGCTTCCTACTAATATCCAGAAAAGTATAAAAATGCAAAGTTTTACAGCGATGAATGCGGAAAACGTCATCGGTGAGTGGGCCAGGCGAATGCTGCCGCCACTGACGCAATCGGGCACATATGTACAGTAGTTTCTGAGAAAATGGGCATAAAAACCGAACCTGATGGAAAGAGAGAGCAGCCTATCCATAACCAATAAAACCAATCTGCTGAGGGCGCAGCGGTGACTGGAGCGAATTCGCCCTCGCAGAATCTACTCCATCCCCCTTCTCAAATACCATAAAAGACAGAGAAAATTGATGCTCGGCATTAGCATAGGGGCTGAATCCAGGTCTGTACATGTCACGCACGAACCAAGCCTTACTCCCCGATCTCACATAGGCAGTCGGAACCTCTGTAGGACAGTTAATCCAGCGTTTGACAGTTCTTTGAGTCATAACTGCCAGTGTCAGATGCTAATACAGGGTGTCCACTGGGTCGGTGTCAAACCGCCCTCGCTCTCCTCACAACCACAATCATGTACGAATGGTAACTCCGAGTTAAGCAGACTTGAGATGAGGTTTTGGCGGTGGCTGACAAGTTTCATAAACCTGTCTGCTCAAATGCAATGCTGCAGTCCATTTTAGCGGCATGTTTGAACATTTACTTTATGTCTTGGGCATGGCCCACAAAAGATGTTCTGCACGAGCCCGGAAAATGTGGTGCAATTAATCACTACCGTGTTGCACATTCGTCACCTATTTTCATTGCCGGCTGTGGCTGGTAAATTGTATGGTGTTTGGTTGTGAGTTTGAAATAGAATATATTTAAACGACCAGAGTCGAGTCCAAACCCAGCGCACTCTTTTGAGGCAAATAACGTGTGATAGCACAAGCTGCATCTATGGTTCCGTCTACCCACCATTGCTTCTAAGGAGGAAGTTCATACAAAGGTTGCCGGAAGAGCGTTCCCGGCTTCCTCGCTCGTTCCATTGATTGTCACTAAAGAGGGCTCACGAGAAAATCTGACAACGCACGTGCGTTTTAACGGTGTTGTGAACACCCCTGCTAAGGGGAAATACGCCCAAGGTCGTCAGTGTACAAGGTTAGAACTGGATAGACAGGGGTAAGGTACTCGGCAATCATTTCCTGGTTGTATATAAGCGAGGTATTTTACACTGAAATCTGACTGTATTTGCAGGCTCGAATCGTCAGACCTACTGACCGGTCAGTTGACAATGCGCTCTTGAATTCTGGTCCGCTCATTCACACTAGAAATTCTGAAAGACAGAACAAAAAAGACACCAGAGGTATAACATTAACCAAGAAACAGACTGTCTCCAAGCTAACTGGACCTGAGAAGTGCATACCATTTCAGATCTATACGAACCCTGCTGTCACAAGCGACACTACACTGCGTGTGGCGTTAAGCTAACATCTTAACTAGTTGTTGTCATTCGGATTAGTGTGTCCTAGTTATTCAGTAGGTGGCCAAGCTGTAGGGGGCGAAGCATTAAAATCCGATGGTCCAGTTAGAAAAAAAAACCAGACAAAATGTCAGTCGGTGGAAGACACCAGGATATGCAGGCAAGCACGGCCGAGCTATTTAGCGGGAGATCACTCTCAAAGTACTGTTTTTGTTAAATCCATGTTGTTGAGAGAAGCAGGACAGTTGGTGGTCTTCATTGCGGCATGTGGCTTCACTTGCTAGGCTTTGTGAATCCAAAGTAGTATATTATATGGGAGTGTTCTCCTCTAGACTAAAATGCGAGGATATTTAGAAGACGCGGCTCACATTTCGGTAACGAACGTTTTCAAATGTGATTTACCATTTCACACGAAATACCGGTTTGAAGTACTTCACTACGAAATGAAACTTAAAACTGACATAAAACATGCGCACTGAATGATGGCCTTATTTTGTTCTCGTTCGAAATTTTTCCCCGCATGCCGACCAACTGTTAATCGACTGATGGGACCGCAGTTAAGCATGGCAGTGTACGCAACCCAGGCTCTACGACCTATGTGAGCGGGACTAAGTAGTAATTGATGACTGAGTTTTTTCGACAAAACTAGACGCAAGCGTTCTTCCAGCGATGCTGCAACACTTGCTATCGTTTGATGTGTTCCATAGTACAAGAGGAATTCGACGAAAATGGTTGCCCAGCTAGACGAGAATGCGCTGGGTCGCCTTGTTGAATTGCATCACAACAACTGTCAGTCAACAACGGTCTGCTTTACTGACTCCGCCGCTGCGTTTAATTTCGTTCGTCAGATGTATCTGGCGAATAATACGGTCAGGCGGTGGACTAGCAAAGAATCGCTGTCCGCCACAAAACGTTTACTGCGCGCAGCAGTAATTGAAATAAACACTTCTTACTGAGCCTTTTTAACTACGCCACTAGCTGGACTCGGCTAGCGGATTTTCGTGATTGTTACGGCACTGAGCATGCACCCGGATTTCAGCAGACCGTCCTCGACTGCTCTAACACCGCCTAACAGGCGTTAAGTTACTAAGACAGGTAAACGAGAACAAAAAAGCAGATTTGTAAACACGGCAAAAGCCGGTCTTCTAAGCTTGCCCTTCTGGAGTGTGCACCGCCCGCAACTTTTTGCTGTTAATTCGAATGAACAATCAGATACAGATATGGCAGGGCCAGTTGGTACCGAACTTGTGCTTAATACAGCTGTGATCATGCCTGGTCCCGGCGCCCCGGTGCCGACAAGAAACAAGCGTGTCCCAGTGTGAACTTTCGTTGAAAAGGGTGGGAATGGCACGAAAAGGAATTCCGATGCGCCCAGGACGCAGACACCTCAACAGTAATGTAAACACTGAGAGGTTTGTTAGTACGGCTGTGATGAGTTTTCTGCGCTCTACTTTCTGAACAGTCGTGGCGGCTGCGTTTGGGAAAAAATATTCGGTCAGGGAAACAAGGGTTGCGCTGTGCTGACTAAGATGTCTCAGCTATGAGGTGTACCAACTTGAAAATGAAGTCCGAGATCTCTTCCCACCCTGGCTGGCGACTTCTGGGCAGCTAACCAAAGACGTGGACGGACAAGGTGGAAGCTTAACGGCGTAAACTCTGCTGGCTTAACTTTGTCCGGCAATGTCGCAGGGTAATCTGTCCTAACTCCCAGCATTCGGTTGAATCAAGCATAATGGAGGTCGATCATGGGGACATGAATGGCAGAGATGCTATTTACATTTTTCAGATTTTGAAGGTGCCTATAGATGCTTGATTATACTTTCTTTAATATAATGACTAGCACGTAACGGTCATTCGTTTAGGACTGTTAATCGCAACATGTCTCAATGCATGGCAGTGAACCGAAGATCCGAGTAAGGTACACAGATGAGCCAACACTTGGTACGAGATAACTCTAGCCACAAAAGGACGGCCTGAACGTTTTGGTGCCAGGCTCCGATGGGTGCTGATGCCCTAGATTCATTGACGTACCAAAGGGGGCGGAAGAGGCCGTCTGAAGTCTAGCGGGACACGATCAGTCAAGAGCTCGAGGTGGTTACCGAGCTCTCCGTATTCTGTCTTTATTGGAAACGGCGGTTACGCTTACAAGATTCGCTGCCGCAGATCGCCACGTGTGCATGTCTGGTGTATATCATCCTTGCTGGCAAACTGGATCCAGAGTGACTAACCGTCGAACCGCAAGTGAATAGCTATGTTTTTTTGTTTGAAAGTATACCTAGTAATCGCGTTATATCATTCTCGAATCTCAGTTCTTATCACGAGTGGACTCGTCCCCTACAGAATGAATATTTTTCTCGCAAGGTATCGCTAACACCAAGTTGGGCCGATACAAAAAGGACATTGATGAAAAGTGCAAGTTAAAAGAGCCCAAATGGAAGATGACATACCTTCTCGGCTGATTTCCTGGACCGGTCTTCCCTTACTCGGTAATGGAGCATTGTTAGCTGCCAGTGTATCAGGATCAGTGATTCGGTACGCCATGCAACCTTATAACGGCATCTAACTATCAGCACATAAACAATCAAAATTCTGAACAACTGGTGAGCCCAAATAAGAACAGGGATCAGCAACACAATTCGGATATAGGACACCACGGCTCTAAATGTGAGTTCCAATTGGACGGTTGAACACAAAGGTGCCACCGCGATCGACAACCGAAACACGAACCCGATACAATAGGTACTCGACAGGACGAGGACAGCCTGCAGGCCTAGCTGCGAGCGACCACGCGTGGTGGATAGTGGAACTGGCTTCAGCTAAAACTAGCTGCAAGATGAGCAGGCTAAAAAAGAAGACCATGCAGCTGTAGTGCCTAGAAGTGTGATTGGTTAGTTATCTAGCAAACTGGTTACCCACAAAAAGGTTACATAAGGCAAAGACACTACGGCGGATACTGCCCGCCGTCCAACAAAATCTCGGAACCTTAGTGGTGTGTTAGAGGGGCGGTTAGAAACATCCACCTCTGAATCCACGAGTTACAGGAGTTCATCCCCTCCTGACCGCCCCACGAATTGTGCTGCTAATTAAGTTAAGCATGGCTTTTGGACGATTAGAGAACCGTGGTTAGCGAGATACGGCTGAACCTGAGGAGGTCAAGGGCCTCGAGAGCCGCCACTTTCTGCCCAATAGCAAACCGAGCGTCCAGCTAAAGCAGAAACGGTGAATTGTTTTCGGACCATGGCATTTGGTTAATAAACACTATAAGAACTAACCATGCAAAAGTGCAGGTCTCATCGAAGGGGGAACGATGACAGTTGGTGAAGTGCTACACCCGCCAGGCACGCTTAATTTTCTGACCTTTTGGCTGTTCAAACAAAGTGGGTTCCACCGGGAGTAATTGCGTTGAACTATGATACTGCAATCACCAGTCTGACGACCGCTGGTCTCTGGTTGTTGCGTACTTATCTAAAGCTGTCACTAGACATCATTAAGGACTTGATTTGGCACGGTCGTGCACACACTGTATGTTGAGGGAGCGTAAAATCAACAGATAATAGACTCATTATGTCCACCTAAACGTCTAACGAAAATTGTCAGTTAAGCCGAAGTTTTGCAAGTAATGAGCAACCGATAGCCTCTGATTATTTAATCCCTGCCAAGGAGCGGAGTAGTCGACTGTACCGATGTAGCGATTGACTACCAATAAATTTTGCAGCACAAAAACGCAGCTACAAGTACCTGCGTTAAGGATTTGAAGGCAATGTAACACGGTAACGTTCCGCGTATTTTCGTTATAATTTTTGGTTTTCTCTATTCCACTGCCATGCCTATCGCAAACATAGTGTTTTTGTGCCTGAAGATAACAAGTTCTGTTGGCTTGTAAAAATGCAACTGCGGCACAAGAGCTCCATCAAACAGCACTATTAAAACTTTTAGGAACTGGGTGCGAGCGATCGCGTGACCAAATACCCTGGTAACCTTCTTTGACCAATTCAGATTATGAGGATCAGTTCGTCATTAAACAAAGATGTGAAGTAGGTTGCAAAACATGGCGGAAAAAATTCGCGATGGATGCCTTAATCATAATCACAAAAGCCCAGGGGGTCGGACACAGTCCAAGGAAATGAAGCATGGTAGCAACTGCACTGTTGTGTTACCGCTTCTCCTTTGATGTGTCAATTCAAAATGCTAAATAGCATCTGTGTGGATGCCTGTTGCATACGCTTCTTGGAGATGCGGCCGCATGTTCAGAATTATCGTTTACGAGAGCAACAGGGGAAATCTAAATCGACGGCTAGACAAACAAGGCACGAACACCTCCGACCCCACTGCAAACGTGTTTATAGATCAAAAATTGCCCGAAGGAGGCATTTCACTCAAGCACGTAACCCTCGAAACCGCCTATAACACAATCAACTAGTTTGCTTCTCTCTAAGCATTGACCTACTTCCCATGAACTAAGCACCCACAAAAACGACGCTCAGTGAGCGCATCGAAAGATGCTTGTCGAGGCTACAATATGAAGTTTCTCGAGAGAACAGAACGAGCTTCCATGGAGTTTTTAGCATACGTTCCACTTCATAGCTTCTCCTAAAAGCAATTTGCTGAAAGATATCGGCCCTGTACTCCTGGATTCCACTAAAGAGCTCAGATTTGTCTGTGAATTACAGGCCGAAAACATCCCCATTCTTTGGTGCTTTTTATCTCAACGAAGATGATTGTGGCCTTGAGATTTAAAAGTGCACTTACACTATCTCAGGGTGGTCAGAGGAAAATCTTACAGGGCCCAATGGTTAAAAATCGTTTCATTGTTTTAAGGCTGTGGCTGAAACTCCGTAAGACAGTTCTATCTTGATGCAAATCTTACGTCAAGCTTTCTCCGAATTCTGTAAATTAGGACCTTACTTGTTGGGAATTCGAGAATTAACGCACAATGGGTGCTTAGGTTCTTATTACCCGGTCTTTAATCCAGAAATTTATCGGTGTACATATTCCCTCGTATCTGCTTACCGTTCGCTATTCTTTTGGTTTGTAAGCAGCATCCTCTGTCCGTCTGATTCTTGATTTTAATGTACGTCGTCTTTCAAGGACAATTATAGCAGTCGGACAGGTCCTTCGACAGCACTCAATGGTAGCATTCTGATCTAGTGGTAGGATAGTCACTTTGTGACCGTGAGCGACAGCTCCCATATTCCCTGTCGACTTTTGCATGTAGAATTCACTTACTTTGTAGTGCTAAGACCGAAGCCCGACCTAAAACTAACACTTACTATCCTAAAGAACTCTGAAAAGGCAAGCTGCCAAATCATAAACCCAGTGCAGAATGAGCGTTCGCGTCGAATGACCAGTAAGAATCAGCTGAAGCATCCGCGAAAGGGAAATTTTTAAACAGAAATCAATAGGATGCTTGAAGCGGAATCTGTCCGCATTTAAGTAATTTGCCAATATAACCCTTCGCGTCAATGGATGAATGTTCTTCCCCCAAAACATGACGTTGGGAGGCATTTCTCGAGGGATTTTCAGCTAAGCGATAAAAAGGGGTTATTTCCGTTGGCAACTCGTTCCATTGGGACGCCCGACACCGACCCTATGGGGGAATGGTCGTCGCCGACACGATAATCACGCCAACTACTGCGGGGCCTGAGTGGACGACCCCGAGGACCAGTAATGAATAAATATGGTCGGCGGGATCCTTAAGTACCAAGGTGCGCGCTAACATTTCTTGTTTGCGTGCGCTCGAAGGCAGGATAACCGAAAGGCAATTTCTGTTTTCTTCCTCCCATTGATTTTCTGCGAAGTGTATCTTTGCTTAAATTGGTGTGTACCAGTCTACAACCTTTAAAAGGATGCAACAAAAATCATTACCTGTTCTGTGGACAAGAAGGCGTTAATAGTATAATGCGTGGACTAAATTAACCCGTATCGAGGGCGTAGCATGATATTTAGGAAGCAAGGAGATAGACCATGGCTGTAACTGTCTACACCCCTAGGACACAGGCATAAGTCGAATATTCGCTTGTATTCGACCCATTATTCTTCCACGACTAACAGTACGAACGTCGGATGACTTACAAAAGATAGGCACACGACCGAAGACTAACGTCAACGGCTGTCTGACTTGAAAATCGCTTAGCCCTAAAATGAATTCAAACGGATACCGGATCTCGCTTGTTTTGGGGACAGTTCGCCTAGCTTGATCAACAAGAACCATTACAAACTGACTTGCTCGTGAATCGGACTACGGCGACGAATTGTGCAGCACTTAGCTTTCTCATCAACTCCGCCTGTGTTCCTGCGGCAAGACAATTTGATATGTTGGGGCATAGAAATTAATTGTCTCGAGTGCATCACATGTGCGTAGGACCCAAACCAACTGAATGAGGCTTGTCAGATATTCGTATTTTTAAGAACCGTTATGATCGACATTACGAAGCGATCGTAGTCCGCTCCGACGGTCAGCAATCTTCAAAGTCACTAGTTTTAATGCGCCTTTAGCCTAAATGTGTAGGTTAAATGATGGTGACAAAATTTTGAATAAGATGTCATCATCATAGGACATAACGACTGGACTTCTGGTTGTGTACGATCCCCGTGAAGCATGAGGCGATAGAGCCGCAGGATACGCGGCCGTGCCAGTCGGATCACGTTATGTATCTCGAATTCGGGTGGGCTGTCTCTGGTAAGATGAATAACAGGTTTTGTCGTCAGTGAATGAAGGAAAATACAGAGAAACACAGGAAAAAGCGTTGATAAAGGTGCTATAGAAGCAAAGACCGGGTTCAGCTCGTTTACCAGACCGCACTATTGACCACCGTGCCGATTCATGGGATTCGTGACCATGACTGTAGTTCTAGACTGTAAAACTCGAGCCGGTTAATGGAGTTTGGCTTTGCATACTGGGGTTCCTCATCTCTTGTCGCCCTCGAAAAGCTGTACGGCCCATAAGTAGGATATATCGGAGAGCGGGCTGTTTCCACAGACAGTTTGGCACTTGCCGGATAGATGGCTGTTCATTGCCCTTGTCCCTTAACTATACGCCGGGCAAATCACATGCCATGTGCACTACCGACTACCTCCAGGAAGACGGGTTTGACTGTTAGCCTGGCGGCTGGTTACTCGGCACGCCCATAGGTGACGGATGGAGGAAAAGCTTTCACGAATGTTGGGTGAAAAACGAACTTATGTCTGGCGAATGAACAATTGTGAACTAACCGCGAATGCGCTGTCAGGACTCAGAAAATTGAAATCTGGCTCATCGACTGGCCCATAAAGTATCACAAAGCATGATGACGGCAATGATCTAGCGACTAAACCACCAGCAAATAGGTTTACTCGCCGCCAATGGCTTGAGGTTATGTTCACAAGACCCAAACCGCAAGGACAGGCAACTCCATACAGCCAATCCGTGCGGTTGTTTGATATACGCCCGTGCAGAGTATTACGCAATTACACCATTGAAGTGGATACCGGCTAGATCAGACATGATCGAAGTCGCAGAAAGTAGCAATACTAATTCCGCAAGTAACAGTGACAACTAGTACAGGTCCAACCGGCATCATGGCGGTTTGTGGCAACCCGGTGTAAAACGCCTGACTTTAGCAGACCCGACTGGTGTTCAATGGAAGTGATGTTTCGGAAATGACTACAGGGAAAAGAGAATGTAGACGTGGATTCCCAGTGCTCCTATAGGGAGTCATATGCTTTGAACGCAATGGCTGATACAGGTTTTGGTCGTAAATTTCGCAATGATATAGCAGGAGGGTTTCACTCCACAGCAAGGTGAGGCACTACTACTTATATCATCCTCTCCAAATTATAAAGTAGCCATCGGTGATGGCTGGAAACCATGATAAACGGCTACATTTTCGAAGCCCGGGGGCCAGGAATACTCGCGCATGTAATAGAAAACTGGCTGGATTACCGTGATTTAGCTGAATGCCAAATGAACTTGAGACTGCTCATGTTCGGGTTCCGATGAGCCCAGCGGAAAACATAAGGATGTCTGCTCTCGTCCTCACAAGCACAGCGACTGATTCAGAAGCCAGAGACCTGGGTCGACTACTCAAACATACTAAAAACCACCTAGATCTGGTCTAGAGGCGAACAAACGCATATTAACCACCCTGGACATAAGGAACCGCGAGTTTCGAGAATATCGCGCGACAGCCCAGACGCTGTTCTCACGATCTGTGTCGTAGAACCGTGTTTATGGAGCAGTGTTAATGCAACCTTGAAAATGGCACGTACCGGGTGCAGCGCGTTTAAGGCTAGATGTGACGACGGTGGAGTCTAGTCCATCAAAGGCCGCATATGTGAGTTTGAAGTCCAAAAGCGGGTATCCGTTGCAGAGTTTGCGGGTCGTCAGCGAATCCACGTTTTGCAAGGCGAATGGACGAAGAGTAGTTTCGTCGAAATTTGCTAACGCTTCGATAAGCACAGTGGGTGCCATTGACTTGATTTGTGCGGAGAAGTTACTCAAGTCCTAGGAAATATAAGCAAGATAGCAATGACTAACCTTGGCATTCAGCCCGTCGAAGCGTATTACATTGGCGCCGGCCTCCACAGCACTTTTCGCTTCACTGAGTGACGCGCATTCCACTTTTACCTGGGTGCCCTTGCCTGCCTTACTTTTTAAATTATTTATGGCTTCTTTAAGGTCTCCTGGTGTGTTTAGATGCGAGCACTGTAGAAGCACGGAAGAGCTACATCTTGGGGTAGGGACGCCAGCGACAAGCATGGCATATTCTTCTACCAATGCAAATCCGGGTGTTGGGTTTGGAGGCGAGACAAGTTCACCTTTCCACGAGAAATCCTTTAGCAATTTTTTAAGTCTGCCATACATTAGAATAATTAACGAAATTACTTGGCCGCAAATGTGGCAATCCCGGATGCTCGAGACAATATCGACTTTATCAGCTGCTCCCCGTGAATAATCTCCTCGGTGGGGCCCGAGATAGACGCAACTTTAGTGAAACTCGTTGTTAAAGCTGCTCCTTCTTGCACATGCCACTGAACTTGACAGCCCATTTCTTGCGCTAACGCTTCAATAAATGGGAATCCAGCAACGATTCCTAAAAGAAAAAAAGTTAGGCTGTGTTGCGATGGGTAATTGAAACAATCGTGTTGTTTAAGTTTTTGCAAGGTGAAAGTTTTCGGTCCTGTTATCGTCACAGTTAAGGCGTATGGATGACGGCGGCACGTGTGGAAGGGTGTATACTAGGGTGTGTAATGCATTTAGAAGACGAGAAGAAATCTCATGTACTTATATCCGGCGGAAAGGTCCCTAGGTGGTAAAGACAGCTACTGATTTAAAAATTACATCGACAATTAGCAATGTATTGTTAACGAACTGACTCTGCACACTGGTTACGCGTCAGCTCCTATGTCAAATAAGGCGGGATAGCGAGAACGGAGTGCGGAGCAAGTGAAGTGGACTAAGGACGCCAGATCCCACAGGTAAGGGGCTATTAGGTTAGTCTAAGTGGCCAGGCGAAGTGGAGCTTGTGGGATGGCAGTCACAGCCTGTACATGACGGTGTTAGAAGCTTGAAGTAATTCAGGCTCCCGAGTGACAAGCGCAACGGCACGCTAAGCAATGCATGGAAGACATCCAGCACGGAAAGATCTTGGATCTTATGTGCATCACCAAGGCCCTCCGGCACTTGGGAACGACGACGAAGTTATAATATCAAAACTCTGGCCAGTCCGAATGGGTCCAGAAGACCACGGGCGGCACGTTTTGTTATCAAAAGCGATCATGTCTGAGTGCACGAGGGACCAGAAGGCTGTTTATTTCTGAATAAAGCAAGTATAGGTGAAAGAGAAGCAAACAGAGACTTGCACCCATATAAGATAAGCTGCACTTATGCATTAACACGCTGTTAACCAACTACTGCGGCGGAATACGGTGTTCCGAAAACGCGAACCAAATGTAACCTAAGGACAATAATCAACGGGACAAGAATGGTTATGTGCAATCAGAAATAGTTTATGCTACATCCCACGGAATGAATAACATTAAATATATGTACATGTACATGCATGCATACATTCATATGTATGAGAACCTAAAAAGCTGCCTACCTGGAGCCTTTGCTTGAATTACAAGTGTTGACTGCGGCGCATCGATAAAAAGTCCGGAAAAATTAAAAACGGCTTCATTGCTTAACCATCCCGAGACTAAGTTCTTCGCCGCTTGACGGCTAATCGTTCGCACACAGGACATGACAGTATGGACGACACCAGGGGAGAAGTGAAACGCGCACCAATTTAAACAGTCAGGTTTTCCAAGTGGCGGAATTCCAGTCAAGAGGCGAAGTAGCCATGCCAGGTTGTCGAATGCGGAAATTCTTTCCTAAAAGAATTTTTGTAGGTGGAAATCCCAGGATGAAAATTATAATTGGACAAACGAGCAGTAGATATGAAATAGAAATCGGAGCAGCCCATTTAACGCAAAAGAGTATAGTTTATCTGGAAACAAAGGGCTTCCGCAGAGGTAATCTCCTTTCTGTTAGTTTTCTCAGCATGTAGTTCAGAATCAGCATTTAAGTGCTCAAGACTCTTAGTGATGATATAGCTAACGGACGAACTAATCACAGATGTCAAAAACTGGTGAAAAAGTGTCAACAGTCAACATTTCTCAAAAGTGCCAAAAAATCGATACTGTCTTTTGGGTCCTGCCAATGATAGTCCCGTTTGATATTTCGCAGTGATTGGCTGTGGCCTCTCCCATTTCTCCCTGAGGTCCTTGGAAACGGCATCTTGTTCGGTGTGCCGGTTAATGCATGATTCATCGGAATACACGGACTCCGAAAATTCACGGCCTTCTGTAGATGGACAGGCACCATTAATGAGCGTTTTGCTCCAAGCGTATATATGGCCAGTTTCTACTGTGTGAATGGCAACTTGAGACAAGTTGTCTTGCCTCCTTACGGCCAGTTGATGTTCGTGTATACGCGTAGAGGACGACTTTTCAGTTTGACCACAGTACACTGCATCGCAGGTGTCACGCGGAATCTTGTATGCGACCTCTTTCTTATATAAATGGCTATTCGACAAACTCTGTCCTTTAGCACAAGGTTGTGAAACCTCAATCTAGAATTTCATAGAGTTTCTAGATAAACTACGAGGGCTCACAGTTAGAGCCGGTGAGATAATGGGACCCATCGATGCCATTTCTCTCTTCACGTCCATACCCCTGGACATGGTAGGCCAATGCACAGAAGAACACCTCCAGTCCTACGACATGGACGTTCCTGTTGCTGCTTCATTTGAGTCATATCTTCCTAATTTTGCATTGTGATTTCAGCAAGAAAACCGAAGATAGATGATCCAATCGGAGTCCTTTTCATCTGTTGGTAGTATTAATGTACAAAGAAGAAGTTCGTTTCCAGACAAACGTCCAAGAGTTCAAGCAAAGCAGCAGCAGAAACGTCCATGTCGCAGGACTGGAGGCGTTCTTCTGTGCATTGACCTGCCAGCTGATCTTATGATTCCTTCCTTAGGAATTTTCGGGGCTCTCAAAAAATTCCAAAGATCCCGCGGTGTTAAAGACACACGATTAGTACCTAATTTCCGACAAGAATGCTTGTAGGGGCGAAAGACCCCGTCAAGTTTTATGGGAACCGTTCTGAGAGAAACGGGGATCCAAAAGACTATTGGGTAGTGCTGTGGCCCATTCTTAAAGTTACTACCGCCGAAAATCCGAGAACAGACAATAAGAATCAACTGAAAAGCACTCATGTCAACTTTCAATATTTATTTACACTCTAAAAGGAGACGAAAGTCCTTAATCTGGCAGCTACACTCGGAACATTTGAATAAAACGTGGAGAAGCAAAGAGATTTTTGTATTTTCAAAGAGCAGAGGAAATGAACCCGAAATCGAGGCCTCCAAAGATCTAGAGCGGTACTACACAACCATTCTTGTATGTCACTAGATAAGACATTACCTGAAGCATCATACCTCGATCCGAAGCTTTGTTTGCCTCATCAAAGAATTATTTAGCAAGAATTGACAAATTCATCTGAGAAGGGGTCATCTAGAAGACACTAAGTTCAACCGGTGGCTCTAGTACATAACAGCTCGCTTTCTAACTTTATTAAATCATACCCATCAAATCGGGAGCAAAAAGGTTTTAGTGGGACCCTTATATTCCAATGGGAGTCCTATTGCAAATGCTGTAATTCCGTGCAGTGCTTAAGGTCCCCGTTCGTTTCTGTTTTACAATAACGATACCTCGTTGGAAATTACAGACTCTGAATCTTCTATTTAAGCTGATTGTATATTCCCATACATGTGTCCTTTTATTGAACTATTACTTGATTGACAATAACCTAAGTACTTGCCTACCCTGAACATCAGATTTTTGCCCACCGTTTATCATAATAATTTTTTATTAAAGACCCGTCGCGGCCACATCAAAGCAAGTAAAAGTAAATTTACATAAGATATTAGACGAGATAGGCCGAATCTTTACAAAATGCAATTCAGAGTTTCTGAATTTGTAGTCCGTTAAGAAAAATGATGAGCGAGCGGTAAAAAAAACTGCCTACAAAAATTTAAAAATGGTTGGATTAATTTTACAGGAGAAAAAAAAACCCTCAATAAAGAATAATAACAGAAAAATGCGGGCAGGACTAGCCTGTATGTGGCGATGTATAACTGATTATAATCGGACATCGTCAGGGCAGAAATAAATATCAGCCTTGATTATAATCGGACATTGTCAGGGCAGCAGATAAATTTCAGCCTTGAGGGGTACGTATGCGGGTAAGACAGGACTGGCTTGCATGTGGCATTGTATACGGGATTCACAATTGAGATCGTCTGGGCCGGATTGATACGCCGGATGAGACTATTCGCGTCAAAGAAGCCAGACGAGGGGAACCCAGATGCGATCGGCCACAGCACGCTTCGAGCTCAGCCAAGCAGTGGGGAAGGAAGGTACGACCAAACTACTAGTAGACGGCGAATACTGAGGGTTCCGCCCTGAGCGCCGACAGACTGCATGAGGTCGGAATGCGGGAGATGACATCAAAAACCGCGAAAATTGTCGCTATCGGGGAGGGCTGATAGAAGTGGATTTAGAAACCAATTCAAAACAGGGGTTTCTAATGATATAATTAAGAGTCACCACTTAATCTACCACTAAATTCCAGGAGGACCCTTCTCGAATTCAACAACATGATTGTTCGGGAATTAGACCGTTAACAGTGCCTTTATGCATTCCGGTGTAAGATATTTGTGTAATTTCGATTTGAGTACCGATGACTTAGGCGATGATCTAATTTCAGGCGGAAGATTATTCCATAGGAAAGCATATTTGGAAGCAAAGAAGAGGGAGCGCTTAGATGTAGTGCAAAGAAGCAGTGGAATCACCATGGAGGAGTGGAGCGTGGCATAAGACCGATCTCTCGGAGTGAGAGTGTCAATGAGCGGAAATTGGAGTTAGAGTTGATGCGAAAAGGAAGGCAAAGGCCAACTTCGAGTCTTCTAACCCACAAAAACTTAATGTTCACCTGTTGACATCTCTGAGTATACGAAGTACCGGACGAAGCTGGAGAGAACAGTTTCCAGGTGAAAACCCTCTGAATATTTTCGATTTTATTACGGTCACAGGCGTTCATTAAGCAAAGAAAGGACAGCAGTATACGAGGACTGGAAGCATAAACATTTTATAGATTTTTAGTGCCTTTTCCGGAAATAAGAAATTATGCGATATGAATCCACATATCTGCCCGGCTTTGGCAGAGATTCTATTTGCATGAGGTGATTAAGCAAGTTTATTTGTATAAATTAGACCTAGGTCCTTTTTGGTGGGGCATTCTGAGAGTGAGTTATTCTGAAAAATAATGAGATCAGGAAGTTTGGCAGGACCAAAAGACATGAAAACTCCATCTGTCATGTTGAACCCCATCTGCTTAAGCGTAGTAAATCGGCATTAATATTTTCAACACAAACATTTGCGGTGTCTTTAGAGTATGAGTAAACAAACTTGAGGTCATCGGCATAAGTAAAAGTTTGCGAATTTCCGAGTTCAGTCGAAATATCATTGATGTACAGAAGGAAGAGCAGCGGACCCAGAACCGTACTTTGAAGTTCGCAACTCGTGTTCGAGTGATTTGTCGAGTTGCTATCGGTTGGACAGATAGGACCTGATGAAGTCGAGTAGAGGCGGCCGGATGCCGAGAGCTTCCAATTTTTCTAAAAGACGCCTATGGGGCACTTTGTCAAAGGCTTTGTTAAGATCAAAGTAGATAACTACCACTGACTGCTCTTCATTACGAAGTGATGCGATTAGATTAAGAAATGCCAAGTGGCAAGTTTCGCAGGATCGTATAGGTAAAAATCCATGCTGACTAAAGCTCAGAAGCCGATTAGCTAGACAGAAGTCAAGAATTTCATTGAAAATTATCCTTTCAAGAAGCTTTGCTAGAGACGGCGTTTTAAGCACGCCCCGGATAGTTATTAACGTCGGACCGAGATCCAGACTTGAAGACGGGAATGATAGTTGACGTTTTGCATGTTTCAGAAAAGAATCCTTTTGAAATATAAACCGAGAATAAATGACTAAGCAATATGCGAGGGTTGGACGCTTGTATAATAATCGAATTCGGAATCCCGTCCGTTCCTGAGCAGTGTGAGTTTTTCAAACAACTTATGCGTATTTTAACGAGATCTGAAAAGATATCGATTGTACTCTGTGTCCTATCTGAAAGTGATCGAAAGAAAGAGACCGGATCGGACTCGGTATTAAGGTGTTTTGCAAAAAAAGCACTAAACAACTCCGCCTTGTCAGTGTCATCGATGAGGAAGACTTTGTTAACATTTAGTAAGAAACTAGTGGATGGGTCACGCAGCTGCCGTCTCAGATTTTTAGTCTGTTGCGAAGAAAATGAGGAACAAGGGAATCTGAAAGATTTGGGTTTAAGATATATTCGCGGCACAAACTCTAGGATGCCCTTAGAAATATTGGACATGACGTCACGAAGAATGAATGCATCGCTACAGCAGAGCAAGCCACACCAATCCAATGATCTAATATAGTTATTTATTAAGTCGTTATCTACGCAGTCGTAGTTTATGTAAGTCCGAACGGCGCTGGTCTTATTTGAAATGACAAGCAGTAAGCAACAATGAATTAATACGTGGTCACTGTCAAAGAGGTCCTTTTTTAAAGCAACAAACGAGAAGCAATGTCATTGGTAAAGATTCGATCTAAAA